ATATATATATATATATCGTACATCGGGGCTAACTAGCTCAAAGTCGACAAACCTATACCGAAAGAAACCATCGATAAATCAACAATTAAAAGAAAATGAATCATGAAAGTAGAGTATAAAAAGCATGCATTCCTAAAGGTATAACACGCCCCTATTTCACCAAGCTATCTACAACTTGATTCACTTCTCTATAGACATGGTAACAAGTCACTTCATACCTACTACTCTATTCACCTCATGGTAACTTTGTGTATTATATATGTAACATAACTTTTGTACTTTAATAATTTTTCTAAATATTTATCGACAAAGTTAAAATTTATTCTCTAGACATAGTTTGAATTATTTAATAAATAATAGTACATTTACTCTTTATTATGTTAATTTATATTCACAACTTATGTATGAATTTAACTTTACTGATTTTATCATAAAATGATTAGTATAAGGGTGTTTTTAGAAACTACTCTTTGGCAGAAGTATTTTTAGGAATTTTTATAATTTTTTTTATAAATTAAATTTTTAATATTTTAAAATAAATTATTAATAATTAAAAACAATTTCGTGACACAATATAAATCATTTATCTTTAATTTGAAGTATAATTTATATATTTAAAAATATACACTTATATAAATTTTAAACATAATTTATATTTCAAATATAATGTTTATTTATTATATATATAATTTATCATAAATCTTAGTTAAATATCATAAATATCTAGCCTGTAAAATATACAAGTAAAATATTGGTTATTGATATATTTGTGACTAACAGTTAGCTAATAAATAGGGTTAATCATTTTTAATATTTTTGTGAGCATGAATTAATATAGTATCCTTTGGATACTAATCCCATATTCAAGGCCCAGAATGGAAGCCTAGTCTCTATACTTACCCGTTAATAAGTCTTGGAGGGCATTAATAATATTTGGTCCTTTGCCTAACACATATAGGGTATCTTTATATTTGATACTTTCCAGTTTCCATTCTTTCTACTTTAATTAATTTGTAACACATGGCACCACCAGTGACCAGTCCACAGCAAATGCTATATTGATGTTGAAAGTTACCCAAGTCACGTACTTTTCCCCGTGTCAGCGTTGCCAGGTGCACGTGTTGGATATGAGAAAATAAGTGTTACTTATGTATTTTTAGTCGTGTAAATACCACAAAGTTTTTTCTTTTCTCCTAATTAAATTTTCTTTTTTATCCTTCATTTGCATTAAAAATGTATTAGATGTAAGGTAAATTTGGTTTTAATTTTGTGACTTCATTCTTCACGTCAAGTGGAGCGGCTCCATGTAGCTTTTCTGTAAATTTGAGATTAATTTACACGTAGTTCTTGTTCTTCGAAAAAGAAATTGACTATTTTGGTCATATATTATTTATTAAATAAGGAGTATATATAATCCCACTTGAGCAAGAATGCTCTTTCTTACACTTTCTTCACCAACACAGGCAATCTCAGGTCCAAATTATTTATAGTAATCTCAACAAAATCCATACCTAAAGTAAGCAAATAAAAAATGAGAAAATCCCAAAATTTGGGCTGGGTCTAATACCAGTATCATTTGCCTTTTACAGACATTAATTAGCTGAAAACCCACCCTCAAGTTTTCTTCCCTTCTACTCAAGCGTGAATGAAAAAGGAAGCAAAAGCTCCACTTATTCCAACTCTGAAAAATCTCTTCCTCCTAATAAGTTACACCCTCGCTTTCCATTCCTTTCACTCCACATCACAGCCTGTCCAGAACCCTCTTTCTACATGCAACAACTCCTCTATATGTAACTCGCATTTGGTGTGCCAACCTACTCAACATAACCACACAAACAACAAAAGAGAAACACAAACAAACATGAGTCCTACTACGTGGTTTTTTGTGGTGTGTGTTGCGGCAGTGTTGGTGCTTGTGAATGGACAGTCATCAGTGAAGCCGTTGGTGAAGACGGTGAAGGGGAAGAAGGTGTGTGACAAAGGGTGGGAGTGCAAAGGTTGGTCTGCTTATTGCTGCAATGAGACTATCTCTGACTACTTCGAGACCTACCAGTTTGAGAACCTCTTCTCCAAGAGAAACTCTCCAGTGGCACATGCTGTTGGATTCTGGGACTACCGTTCTTTCATCACTGCTGCAGCACTGTATCAGCCTCTTGGCTTTGGCACCACTGGTGGAAAGACCAGTGGCATGAAGGAGGTCGCAGCTTTCCTTGGACATGTTGGAAGCAAGACCTCTTGTGAGTAACACATTAATTCATTCACATATGTTTGTTTTTGCTAACCATGCGAAGTATCTTAAAAAATTTGTTGATAACTAATCTCCGATGAAAAATTTGACTGAGTGAGGTGTCTTCTTTCAACCACGTTTAAGATGGCTGAGTCCAGTTCTATTTAGACCAATTTGATTCAGACAAATGACTTGTTGATTAATTGACATATGTTGTGAATCATGATATGAATATGTGATCATTCATGGGATGACCTTATTCTCTTCATGTTTTTTAATTTGTTGAATTCATGATCTCATTGCATGATCTGAATAATTTAGATATTTCATGTGAGATGATGCAGTAATATACAGGATTTGATTATCTGATTTTGATCTTTAAGTTATTTTGGTTAGGTGTGAGTGGAGATTTGTTTAAAGATCATGAAATTGTGTAGTGACAATTTGTTGGAATAATATTTCAGGTGGTTATGGGGTGGCTACTGGGGGACCCTTGGCCTGGGGCTTGTGCTACAACAAGGAATTGAGTCCTGATAAATTCTACTGCGATGACTACTACAAGTTAACCTACCCTTGCACTCCTGGCGCAGCATACTATGGTCGTGGCGCCATCCCACTTTACTGGTATTCATATAAATATTTAGATCTCTTGAATATCTTAGAGAAATTATTATATGGTCTGAGATTAGGTGATTCTAGCTGATTTTTATGTGACATGTTATTAACTCTTTTTTGGTAAATTGAAAAAATGTAGTTACATGATGTGTAAAAATTGGCCGAGATTACTTTGGTTCCGGATCATGTAATTAATAATTTCCCTTGATCTAGAATTGGACTATCATTAGATCTATTTACTCATTTTCACAAAGTTTGTGTTAATTTGAGATACTGGTTTTGGTTGTGTTCCTAAGAAGGACACAAATGATTTATACAAGTCTCTACATGTTTGTAGAAGTGGTTAATTAGAATCATTTTATGCAAGGATATAGCCAAATTTTGAACAATTCATGATCAAAATCCTCGTGTTTTCTTCCTTGATAACAGGAACTACAATTATGGAAAAGCTGGGGAAGCCTTGAAGGTGGATCTGTTGAACCATCCAGAATACATAGAACAAAATGCCACCCTAGCCTTCCATGCTGCAATATGGCAGTGGATGACCCCACCAGAGAAGCACCTACCTTCACCCCATGATGTGTTTGTTGGCAACTGGAAACCCACCAAGAATGACACATTGTCCAAAAGGGTACCTGGATTTGGTGCCACAATAAATTTGCTCTATGGGGAACAAACTTGTGGCCAGGGACCTGACAACGAGGCCATGAACAACATCGTTTCCCACTATCTTTATTACCTTGATCTCATGGGTGTTGGCAGAGAAGAGGCAGGGCCTAATGAGGTTCTCTCCTGTGCTGAACAAGCTGCTTTTAAGCCCTCTGGCCCACCATCTTCTGCCACAAATTGAGCTTTATTTGGCTGAGATTCTTGGCCGGTCCATTCTTGAATCCTGCAATGTCTTAATAAAGGAGGCAAGTAGAAAAGATATTTCAACTACTTTGGCCTTCACATGAGAGTGAAACGAGCTTGGAGTGGACATTTTCAATAGTTAATTTCTGTATAGATTGTTACTTCGCCATATATCTTGGCTTTTCATGTTTTCTGTCCCTTCTTGTATAATTTGAATATATATTTTGATATATAATGTATACAATTGAATATTTCATCATTAAGGATTGTGAACAATTTTGTTGATATTTGTATGTTGTGCAATCAAAATGATACAAAGTTTCATATGAATGATCACTAGTGAGTTGTGTCAACTCTAGCTTTTCTTCTTGGTCAGCTCATTGGCAAAAGAAGCTTTGAAAATGTGGTCTGAAAAACGCAAAAGCTTTTAGGCCTCCTATTTTAATTGTCAATATTGGTGATTAATGCAACCCTAAGGCACTCATATATGCTTTGGTAAAAGGAGCATTTGAATATGAAAATTTTCTTTAAAAGTCGTGATCCAGAATTTACCCCACGCTCACCTCGGAGTTTCTTAAAATGTTACATGATTGAAATATAAACTTAGTTTAGATTTAAATATATTTTCAGTTGTTTATAGTTGAATATGTTTTTTATTTTTAAAATTTAAAATTAACCTTTAGTCTTGTAATTTAAAAAAGACTTATTTCAATATTTTTTTCAAAGCTTAAATAATTATTTGACCAAGATTTCATAAAGACAAAACTTAGGTAAATTTCTTTTAAGTGTAGTCGATATTTTTTAAAACGTAAGTACATATAAATAAGATTTGCATTATATATAAAAGCAACTTTAATGGGAGTTGCTTGTTCTATGAAGCAACTCAAGTCTCGATTTCTTATCATTGGAGGACTTTGACGTGGCAATATGAGTTGCTTGAAGAAGAGAGAGAGTTGATTCCTCAAGCAACCGTTCCTTACCAGATTTTAAGCAGATCTTATTGAACATATTTGGAAACGTTTTGAAAATAATAATGATGAAAATTAATTTTGTATAATATTTATGTATTTATTATTGCTTTATTTTATTTTTAATATCTACTTATTGTGTATTTTTTCTCATAATTTATTTTTTTCTATTGTAGCGCAATTATCCTTTTTAATAAAAATGTAAATTTAGTCCATAAATGATTAGAAAGAAATTCTAAAAGTTGAATTTCTTAAAGTTTCTTACTATTGAAGTAAATTTGTGTTTGAGTTGCTTAATGTTGATATGACATACTAGGAACCACTTTTTTCATTTTTCAATGCATGAAACAACTCAATAAGTTGCTTGCATTGGAGATGCCCTAAGTGTATATTATTGAGATATAATTCTAATTTTAATGAGAGAACAACATCAACTGTATCTAAGGAATTGTTTCAAAATTTTGTTCATTTCATAATACTTCTAAAAGAGTAGTATTTTACAATTTTTACCTTTGCTTTATGTTGGTCGGTGAAAATATTCTGATTTAAAAGTATAAAAATTTATAAGTAAAGATCTTGATATTTTTTATTTTTATTTTTCCTCCTTTATTAATTTGAAACCCTTCTTATATATATTTTTATTCAAATACTTTTTAGAAATCAAAAATTTTATTTTCTTATGGGATCTAGTTCCTTTAAAGTGAAAGAATTATGATCTAGAGAATAAAGTGTAATAATAACTATTAATTAAAAAAATCAAAAATTAATATTATAATGAATTTTATATTTTATTTTGCAAGAATTTAATTTTATCATAAGTTTATTTTTAGAATAAATAATTATGAGAGTACTTTAATTTTTAAAGTGCACCTTCTCATTTTAAAAGAGTAAAATAATTTCTTGTTATAAAATTTTATAATTTTAATATTTATGTTTTTTTTTATCTTTTTATATATGTTGATAAAATTTTAATTATTATTTTCTAGAAAATATAGCCCACACATGACACTGACAAAAGATCATGTATCCCCTTATTGGCCATGGGCCAAACCCCTGGTACTTTTTTGTTTTTGATATTTAAAACTCCCTGTGCCAATGAACAGAACTATCCAGCTGAAGGTAATAAATAGGGTTCCATAATGCCTGCAGAAACATTTGTTGAGGGCAGAGGCAAGAACATGGGCCTGCCGGGATGAGCAAGTTCTAACCCTATGATACACAAACCATCAAAATAGACATGTGACTAGGATTGTTCCTTAATGTTATTTTGTCAATAATAAAGGTTTTTCAGCATTTTAAAATTATCAACCACAATACCTTATGTCAAATTAGTTTTTAACTTTTATATTGGTTAACTCATGTAATTGGACACTTGAATTTTTTAATCAAAGTTCAAAGTTAAAGATGATAAAAAGATATGTATTTACAGAAAAAGTTTGTTATAAATTTTAAATGAATAATTAAATAAGTGGATGAATAAATAGTAAGATATTCGTATTTTTAGTGCTTGCACTTTAAAAATATTAAAAAATACTCTTAATTTATAAAATAATTTAGTTTAATTTATTTTTTTTATATTGAATATATGTGTTATAAATATTTATTTTCAATACAAATATATATCACAATTTTTTTAGTTTATTTTATTTCATACCTTTTATATAAAATTTAACATTTTAACAAATATTCACAAATACTTACATATATATAAAAAATTTATGAATATCTATTAAATGGATACCAGCACTAAACATGACAAGTAGCAAAGGCTACTACTTATCTTATCACGTTCCATTATCATCTTTAATCGAGTTCTATTTTTGTCTTAGATATAGAGTTGCGATTAAAAATAAAACTTTATAGAGATCAATTAGATGAAAACAAGTTATATTTCCTTATATATAAAAAATTAGCTTTTCTAAGCGCTTACGATGACACTAAATAGAGACATTGGTAACAACAATCTATAAAAAGAATTAGTAAACATGAATGTCATTGTAAAAAGTTATAATTATAAAAACTGTTAATTCAAATGGTTCGACATTTTTACATTTTAATTAAGGATTAAGGTGCAATTCTCAATTTTGACATGGAGTTATAAATATTTTACCCTTATAAAGAAATTCGATGAAAGTGAAATATATCTCATGATTAAAAAAAAAATATATTTATATTTTATTGATTTAGTTTTCCTAATTCTCAGTTTTATCCTTTTATGTAATTGATGTTTATATTGATTTGTCAATTAGTATTTTATCTCATAAAAAAATATTTCAAAAGAATTATTGTAGTCAAATTTTTAAAAAAAATTGAGTCTAGCAAAAAGAACTAATCCATCAAAATATCGTAAATCAATTTTTGAATGCCTTTTAAAAGAGGTTCATATGAGTCTAGCAAAATTGTTTTAAAAATAAAATAACACACTTGCAAAACTAAAATATAAAAGCAGTGATAGAGCTATGTTGAGGACCTGAGGTGGGAAGCCAAGGCCTCCCTCTCCCCTCTCATTTTCCGAAAATGCGTATAAGTTTTCAATAATTTTAAGTATTTCATTTAATTATTGGGACAAAATCTGCGACTAAATAAAAGTTATATAATTCATGTTATAATCATAAATTTGTCTCTATAAAAAATGAATATAAATTAGAATATAAACATTCAAATGTCCAACATGTATAAATAATTAAATAAGTTATCAATTTTAAAGTAGTTTTTCACAAGAGAAGTAGTACACGAAGGAGTTTCCAGTTGAAGATGTTGGGTTCTGCAGGCCCAAAATGCTTGCTTATTGGGTCCAAAATCAGTTGGGCTTCGCCCTCTCCAAAGGACAACTACTAGGAATAGAAAAGGGGCTTGGCCCAACAGGTTCCTCATTTAACGCATCGTTTTAGGTGAGTCTCGTTGATAATATTTAATTCATGCTAACAACTTTTTTTTTTAATAAAATAAAAATAAAAAATTAGTACAAAATTTTGGATTTATATTTTATTTTAGGTATAAAATTAAAGTTATGTTTAGAACTCAATATTTATGTTTGGAGATGATTAATGAACATGTATCTTTTGGATAAAATCTTTTAGTGTTAGTATTGGAGGCAAAATAGTTAGGGAAATTGGATGAATAACCCAGTTTAAAATTATTAGATGCACATGTGAAAAAAAAATTATTGGTAGGATAATATTTTTATTTTTATATTTCTACTTTCTAAATTTATTATTTTAAATTTTGGTGGGTCATACATTATTATATTGGGATTAAGATGAAATAACAAAAACTATATGAAAGAAATATTAGAAAGAATAGTTTTCACCAAGATTGCTTAATTGGAAGAATATTATAAAAATTCTTTCACTTTGAAATTTACAACCTGTTTAAAGAAGTTGTGAGTTTTCAATTTTTAGTTTTAAAATGTAATTTTGAAAATAAAACTTGTTCAAATAAAATAGGATTTAGTTGGCTTCTTTCTTGGTTTTAAATCACTTTCTCTCTAATTTAAAAATACAATTCTAAATTACAATACTTGTAATTAATCTTGTAAGACCTCACTTTACTCCACCTGGCGGTTAAGTAATCACAATTCTATTCAACAAAATTCCTTGTCATTTTAATAATAATAATAATAATAATAATAATAATAACTTGAAAAAAACCATCCATTATCTACTCTTTATTATTGGCTGTTGATTTTTTTAAAGGTTTATTTAGTAATCAAGTAAGATTCTAATAAAATAAATAAAATTTATGGAGCAAATAACTTTCCTAAAAAAATTTTCCACCTTTTTCATCAATTATTTTGAGTTCGTATGAATAGTGAAATAATAAAAAGAATAAAATCAATAAGATATAAATAAAGTATATAAAATTCATTAAATAAAAATAAAGGTGAACAAAATAAATATAATAGTTATACTTGGATAACTGCAAAAGAAATCCAATAATCAAAATCCAAAAAGTTATGGTTGAAAGTAACAAACTAAACGGATTTTGGTCTGCCACTACTTCTTTCAGGGACTTATTTCTGACACCAAATTGTCCACTTGTACATAAAAATCTTTATCATTTTCGAAGACAAAGTATCAAGAACACAATTTTTTTAATATATTTTATTACTCTTGTTGTCTCATTATTACATTTCTCTTTGAGTGTTCTATTTGGTTTCAACATATATATTATTTTCTATATTTTAATTCTTTTAATAAGAATAAAAAACTTTTTAATATTATAATTTGTGTAATTAATATTTTTTTAAAAGAATGTGATTTTTAAAAAAATAAATAATATTATATGGAGGGAATATGCGAGTTTAGCAATGACCTG